TGTGTGTACGCTGATATACTCCTTATCTTTAAGGTCTCACTCAGTGCTTCAATGTGACAAAGAAGTTTTAAATATTAGGCTCCTAGAACTGAGTAAAACAGTTTTTAATCCTTAAAGCAATCCTCTGATCACTCTGAAGTGCTTCTCATTGTAGCCTATTGGCTGTAATATCAAAGAAACTCACAGTAAATTGGACACCACGTGGCTTTTTGTTAGGCATGTGACTTACTGGTAGGTGTATGTGAAGGTGTACTGGTCCACAGGGCCAGCCCTCTCCTCGTCTTCCTCCCAAAAACACGTGAAGTCCTTCAGACCTTCAGCAAAGCACTTGGGGTTTTGTGGCTCCTCTTTCAGCAGCAGGGATACTGAGGAGGTGAAGTCAGGGGACAGCAGCCAAACATTTTGTCTCACAGATTAAATCCCTTCATTTAAAATGTTGGTTCCAACAATCGTTCGCTGGGAAATGATCGTTTTCTTAAATGCAACCAAAATCTGCACATATCTGACTTCGACAGTTGCTGTTGTCATTACAGGTATAACAATAGTCGCCCAACAAGGTTACCTACCCTTCTTATCGAACTCTCTTGAGCGGTGTACGATGGAGCTGGCTCCCATGGCGCAGAATAGTGCGTAAAGTGCCAACACTCGGCTCAGGTGATCACATGTCATCCTTTTGTCTCCGTGAACAAAGACTTTGGCCTTATGTTGTCCGTCTGCATCACTGGACAACAACCTGCCACTAACGGGTCTGCCGCGGCTGTCGCCCAGGGGACACTTGTTTTTGGATAGATACTACGGACAGCGCGGCGCGGTTACGCGCCTGTTGCCGAGCGATAAGGAGTGCAGAGCCGCGCTGTTTACGTTCTCCCAAAGCCAGTGAAGGAGAGGTGGGGCCAAAGGAGACACAAAACGTCTTACTCTCTTGGTGATGGGCGGGAATCACGCGCTCATTGATGTTTACAACTTGTTTGTGCTGATGACTGGGGGAGTGCGCCAGTCAGTCACGTGCCGTGCGTAAAAACGCACAAACGTTGAAAAAGATAGATGGATAAGATAGAGAACACGTTTTGTTATGTAGGGGGTGGATAAGAATTTAAAAAATAATCATTTAGCTTATGTTTTAAACGAACCTCTCCTGAGGCCGTGCAGGAACTGAGGCTGACCCCCTCCAGGAGGCGGAGCCCCGCTCCTGGCTGTCCCCGGGCCAGTTTAATCCCTGAATGCGTTCCAGTAACGGAAACCGCAGGGTATTCACACACCTAAGAGGAGGACTTAAACGTTTTCTTATCTGTGAACTGCACCCACATGCTCTCTTCGTTCGACCAGCATTATCATTGCTGCAGACACCACTGTTTCTTTACCATGATAAGGAGGCGGGGTGGGGGCGACCCATCCTATCAGTTTAAATGCAGTTTAGCGCTTCTTTGCTTCACCTGAAGGGGGAGAGACGACCTGATCCCAGTTTCGGCCACACGATGACATTTGGCTGCAGATGCTGACACACCGCAACCAGCCTCGTTAAACTCCATTCAGCTTTAAAGTTGAGGCCCTGCTACAGGCAGCATGGCCTCTTCCTGACTGTGGTGACAGGAAGAGGAGGATGAGGAAATTTGTACTGTTGAAGGTGGATGGCAGAGTGTGGTTTCTCTGGTTTGTCAGATAAGACAGAAAAAAGCTCTGGCCTGATGTTTTGGGGTCAGGAGGTTGATATGGTCATAAATTACATTACAAAGACCAGCTAGCAGGTGGCACCACTGGAGCCTCTGTAAATGGTTTTTAATTGAGAGCAGTGATTGGCTGGTCTGCTCTTTGGAATGAACATATTGTATTTCAACATTTATTCTTTGTTAACGTTTCTATCCCCCATTTAGAACTAAAGAGGATGAGCAGATCTCCCCTGGTGTAGAAAGCCACCAATAAGAAATGCAACAAGTGATCACAGAGGGAGACTGAAGGAGCACAGCCCAGACCGACGTGCTACAGCCATGTCTGTACAAGAGCATTAGGCAGGAGATTTTCACTCTAATATTGAATATTTCATGTTATGTTTTTTTTTCTAAAATTTCATTGTATGTGTTACAATGACAATAAAGGTTCATCTTATAACAGAAGAGCACAAAGCTGTTCCAGGTACAGTTCAACAGGTGGCAGACAAACTGTGGAATGAAGATAAAAGTACATTTTATTCACTTAAATGAAGCGATGACATATTACAGTGATGGGATGTGAAGTGACGGGCTCTGCTCTGGGGTCAGTGCCCTGCCCTTTCTCAGCACACACACACTAACCGGTCATGGTGTCAGTAATGAAACCACACTGTTATTAAACACAGTGTGTTTGCCGTGCTGAGGCCACTGGCCTCTGCTTTGGCTACGCCACTAGCTTCTCACACCGCACAGAACGAGGAGTTGTGTTATGGTGTGACTACACCACATTCATTGTCACTGTTGGCCTCTGGATGAGATTTGTACAAAATCACTGGCTGTGCCTCTTCAAGGACTTCCTCAGTGGTGCAGAGCGACGCTGTGGCGAGGAGAGCTCAGCATTTCCCTCCTTCACTGGTGGTGCATGAGATCAGGAGGCAAAGGGCAGCATGAAGCTCCAACCCCAGGCTAAGCCTCAGTAGGACGTCCTGCTGGCTCAGTCAGCTTTCACTTAGTAAGAGGCAACGGATGATGAGAATCTCCCAGCAGGCAGACCATGTTAAGGAGAACAGGCTGTGTTAACACAGTACACCACTCCACAAACAGCTGTTTGTTTCTTCTACAAACACACACACACGGGGGGGGGGGGGGGCCGGGCCTTGGCACAAGCCCATCTCCCGTGCACACTCTACGACTCTCACCTTTCAGCCATCTGGTTCCACTTTCTTTACATAGTCATGTGACCAACAGGTCACCGCATGCACCAGCTGTCACCTTTTCCTTTAAAAATGTGGTTACCTCCAGTTAATACAGAGATCAATTATACCGACAGATCACAGACCACCTGCCCTTTGTTAATGGAACAATTACAAGATTGTATTATATTATTCTGATTTTGTAGTTTAGAGAAAGATGACGCCTGGCATCTGTGGATACATGTTGATCACATGAACATATGAAGGTGAGACAGGTGAAGACGTTTGGTGCAGAGTGTGCGCAGAAGAAACAGCACAAACGCAGACATTCTCACTGCTTCTGCACTGATGGCTCAGTGTTTAGCCACCTGTAGAGACAACGTGTTTTATGACTGGATGATTGGAACCCGATGAAAAAGACGGTTCAACATTTTGGGACATGAAGAGCAACACCACTCTCATGACCTGACAACGAGCAGCCAGTTAGTTTAGCTTAGCATAAAGACTGGAAACTGGGGGAATCTGCTAGCCTGGCTCTGCTCAGATCTAACACAATCCTAATGTTGTGTCTCCTTTTTTTAGCAATACAAACAAAACTCTTTGTGCTAAGCTAGCTAGCTGCTAACTGTAGCATCATGCTGAACATCTCTGTGGAACAAAGCAGGTATGCATATTTCCAAAACATTCGTTTCAGGTAGGCTACACAAAAGTGAGTCATGTGTCCTGGAATCAGTGATGAGCATGAAGGACGCATCATAAGACGTTATGACACGACCTCTGTGTGAATAAATGGAAGGCAGGAAGAAGCGCTGCACTTTCATGTCCCGATCACCTGAAGCTTGTCTCCCGGGTCAAACCGAGGCTGCTTCTAGACTACTTAATGGACCAAGACAAATTTAAGCATGTATACTGAATGAAGCTCAAACAAAACAAAACAGCCATTTACAGACAATCTGTGAACATTTCCATCATACGTGGCATCAAATATGCTAAATATTTGGCTGAGGCCAGTGAATGAATGTTTCATTTAAGGTGCTGATGGGGCGAGCAGGGGTCGAAGTGGCTGTGGTGGGGTGTGGACAGACTCCAGTGGACTCTCAGCTCACCACAAACAGA